TCCGACGCGTGAGCTGGCCACATACAGTTGTCCATGTGAGAAGCACGGATTCTTCAAATTTAACCCACACACTCACAGCGATTGTCAGAAGTGCGATATTCCCCATTTTTATATATATTTTTATATTGTTTAATCCTTTACAATTTTAATTATTTAATTGCTCCTTCCTCTCTTCCTTGGCATGTTGTGAAATTTCTGATAGTTGGATAATAAACCATTTTATTGTAATTTGTCTTTTAAAATTATTTTGAGTCAATATTAAAATTTGGAAAAGGGGGATACCTAGATCGGTAAAATACGCGAATTTCTTCCTACAACTTCGGTTGTTGTTCGGGGTACAGTTGAGGTTTTAACGAAGTTCGAACGAATACATAATTAGCAAAAAAAAGTTGAAATAAAGTGATTAAACAAAAATTATTACAAATATTGTAAATAACAGTTCACAAATGCATATATAGAGATATTTTTTGAAGGGGGGAAATGGTCTTCACAATTTGAAATCTTTTGAACACACAGTATAAACATGCGCCATATATTGTAGGATAAATGTACTATGCCAGAAACCTTTGCGGGAGTGTATTAAAAAACTTCCCAAAGCTTCATGGCAATCGGATAAACAGTGTGGTAATGCATGAAGGACAGACAGACGAACAGACAGACAGACATACATTCATTTTTATATATATAGATAATCGTGGCTATTGTATTGTTAAAAATTATTTGTTTACTTTTTACAAACGAAATAAATATATTGAAAAATATAAAAACCAAAAAATATATACTTTAGAAGTTGATCTAGTATCAAAAACATTCAATCGTTTGATCTACATCAAACGTTTATCTAGTATCAAAAACGTTTGTGTGGTGTTTTTCTGAGGACGTTCAAAAACGTCCTCAGAAAAACACCACACAAAAATGTCAGGGCTACCAGCTAAAACACACACACCAACAAAAAAAAATATTGGAGTAGCCCAAGATATAGCCAAAGATTGCAGTGCCACAGCACTGGAGAAAATTTAAATTTGCCGACTGGAATGCTTTTAGTTAACCAACATTTCAGTTATCCGAAACGTCGGTTAACAACGCTCTACTGTAATAATTTCTTTATTTCCATTATAAGTTCATTTTTCTTAATTGTAGCAGACAATATGATTTGTAATTAAGAGAGTTTTTAATATTATATAAATTTTTAATACTTATGAAATTGATATTTTTCATCTACTCTTGTTCACTATAAATGTTTACCGAATACAATAGAATGAATTTACACTAGTGGAGCATACATTCTATACATTTAAATGTAATTATAAAACAAAGGTTCTAAACTGCAGAGTAGAATACTTCAAGCATTTAGAAAACATCCATTACTTAGAATGTCAACAAATAGAGCACTTAAAACTTATTTGAAATCAAATTAAACTACAGGTATTATAAACTTTACAAATATTACAAATTTCATATTTTTTTTTTTAGGAAGAAATAAATTGCCTAAAATAATTAAACCTCCATCCATAGTTTGAATAATTATGTCACAAAAAAAGAAACATTGCTCATTAATACGAGCAGTGTTTCTTTACAGTTAATACAATTAATAGTGGCTGAGCCTTGACACACTCACCAGTGACCATGCCCAATAATACTCAAGATGTTTTTCCCGAACCAATATGGTGCGAGGCTGCAGCGACAGATAATTAGGAGGACAGAGTGGGGCAGATACAAAGGGTACTTAGCAGGCCTCTGGGAATTGGAGGAAAGTCGTCCGCGGGAGTACTCAACGTTCATCGGCCAGCTCCAGGAGGCAGCAGACGGCAACACAAGGTACCAGTCCCTCTCCCTATGGGCAACCTCCTTGGCGGACGCCTGAGTGTAGTCTAATCAGAGCTAGGAAGAGAAGAAAGAGCATTTCGGAAGGCACGCCAACTGGGGTCCATCTTCTGGTGGAATAAATATAAACAGCATGGTACTTTACTTCGTTGGACAACTCAACAGGCACGCCGGGAGTGGTGGGGGCAGGTGTGCACATCCCCCCAACACGGTTGCCTATATACTGAGTATTTAGGAGGTTGCAGGTCCCACTCGGCCCATTGAGTTTGCATTATGTCCTTCAGACGGAGGTCACACTTACCTCTCCAGATCAGCAGGCGGAAGCGTTGGCTTCCTTTTTCAGGAGGTCCTGTCAGATTGGGACTTTTTCCCCTCTTCGGGCCCCACACCAATGACTGTGAGGGTAGAGGATGATGCCAACTTCCATATTACGGAGCTTCAGTGGGCCTTCCATGGTCTCTGAAATAAAACTCCAGGTCCGGATGGAGTGAGGGCGCAAGCCTAGAGGGCACTGCCCAAGGAGGGTCAGGCAGTCCTGCTCGGAGTTATAAATCAGATTTGGAACTCGGGACAGAGTCCAGTGGACTGGAAGCTGGCATATATAATACTGATCCTCAAACTGGGGCATCCGGCAACATCCTGCGCAGCATTTTGATTTTGATTACTTTGAATGTGGCGAAACTGTTCAAACGCTTGATTTTAACACACTTGCAAAAGGCCTTGGTGGCCTCAACCCTTTTTCATAAGAACCACTTTGGGTTTATCCCTTATCGGGGGGTAGAGGATGCCATTATTATGGTACACCACACTATAGCAGTAGTGCGTGCACAATGGAAATGGGTGTATATGGTCTCCCTAGACCTAGAGGGGGCATATATCTCAGTATACCAGCCTGGTCTGCTAGCCAAACTTGAGCAATACAGGATTTCAGGGAACACTTCGCTGGTTGTCCTCCTTCCTCCTACAACAGGAGTTCAGATAAAGTGGAAGGGAGTGAAATCCTCCCCCACCCGTTCCTCCAAGAGATACTGCAGGGGAGTGTGTTAGCACCTCCCCTGCGGAGTCTCCTTCACCCTGTACATGGCAGATCTTTGGATGGTGTTCCCAACAGATGTTACAGTAATTCTGTATGCAGATGACTTATACCTGATTGCCAGCAGCACGCAGGCTGATATGGCAAAATACAGAGCTCAAAGAGTGCTCAAACACCTGGAACATTGGGCGATGCAGTGGATTATAGCCTTTTTGGCTACTAAAAGTGCCATAATAGATTTCTCTTCAAAGCAGCATCGACCACTGGTTTCCCTTCGACTCTTCTCGGGCACCATTTCCCAGCAGACTCAATCAGGATTCTGGGGCTACATTTTACCCACACATTTACATGGAGTGCCCACAAACGGTTCTTATGGAACAAGCTTACCTGGGCAGGGTCATACCTAAGGTATTTTGCTTTCTGGCATAATGGGGTTCGCATGACAGATTTTCTTTGGCTTGTCAATACGGTCATCCTCCCGATGGCGGAGTTTGGAACGCCTCTCTTGGATGGTGTGCTGCCAACGACCATCCAAAGGATTGAGAAACCAATTCATGCGGCTCTCCGCTTGGCCCTAGGGGTCCTCATATGACACCGCTGCTATCGTTATACACAGAGACTGGGTACATTGGCCTAAAGGCAAGGTTGTACTTACGGACAGTCACTTATGCAACTAATTATATTTTGAGGGGTCAATACAGTTTCCTCTACGGGCTTTTTTTGACTGCGAAGTGCCTTGAGCACTATAATTGGCGGAGGTTCCAGGAGTCCAACGTCTCTCGGGCTCTCTCACACCTGAGGAATATAGGAATATCCAACGCCTGCATCCATCAGCAAAGACAGCTCCTGACAAAAAAGAAGATACAATGATGGTTACCCATCATTGTATCTTCTTTGTCAGATGATGAACAATGACACATGATGATACAATAATCCAATGACACATGATGAACAAAACCCTGAAGATACAATGATGGTTACCCATCATTGTATCTTCTTTTTTGTTCATCATGTGTCATTGGATTATCCCTTTTACACCTTTTATACCCCTTTTACATTTTTTACACACTCACATTTTCAATGCATTATTAATTTTAAGGAATGTAAGTAAATTCTCTAAAGCACATTTCATAGAGGATTTGCAAATTTCAATCTTTTCTAGAGTTCTTAAATACCAATAATGTATTAACATTATGTACCAATGTATTATTTTAGCTTTATTCCATTGGACTTTATACCTGGTTCTGATGCAAAGATAGCTAAATTCATTAGACATAGTCCCTTATTTACAATGTACACATGTTTTTTCATCTTGATGATTAAATTATTTGTTATTATGACAGTACTTTCTTGGAATCTCATATCTGTTGTCATATATTGGTATGCTGTTTGTGTCTGGCCTCTCTGCTGGTTTTAGATTGTCCATGTTGTTATGGATCAGTTGAAAAATTGTCAGGGTTTTTTTCATAAACAATGTTATATCTTGTTACCTTTATTATTACTTTATGTATATCGCTCAGCTACCTGTTATATCTGGATCAAAATGAAAAAAAAATGTCACTTCAAAAGTTTCCCAAAGTTTCTGTTAGTTGATAAAAAAAAATTCACTTCATGCTTTCCTATTTGAACTTGTCATGTGATACTATGACATTGTTAAGTGTGTGTGGTGCATGAGACTTCATCTCACAGGAGTTTGACATTCTGCTGTTTTTCTTGAAGTGTGCTTTGTGACTCAATTTTGTGCTGAATGTCAAAATAAGTAGACTAGGGTTTTTATTGCCAGTATTATATTTTTATCGCCACTTTAATAAAAATATTTCCCAGTGGTGATTTTGGTGCTTGTCAACATGATTCTTGAAAGCATAGAGCATAAATGTGAGTGAAGTATATTCGTGCGAAACATCTGGCCATTTAAAGATTTACACTTATATTTAGGACTACATTATTTATTTGCATTTAATGTATGTATGTATATAGTAGAAATCAGGACAAAGTTTAGACTTACTGTGACTCTAAACTATAAGAGACACTTTTTTTTCTGTCAAATAGTAATAAAGAAATAAATATTTTGTTATGGATTATAAGAAAATTAATTCATACATGGTATTTTTGAAATAAATAGTAATATAAAATATAATTTCAGTATTACTTAGTGAACCTATGGAAAATGGTGCCTTGAAGAATAAAACTTTAAAGATAACAGATTTTGGTTTGGCCCGTGAACTCTATAAGACGACTAGAATGTCTGCAGCTGGTACTTATGCTTGGATGGCTCCAGAAGTGATCAAATCATCTACATTTTCTAAAGCTAGTGATGTTTGGAGGTAATGTTTTAATTTCATATTTGTTTTTAAATAGGTATACAAAATTTTCAAAATACTACTAGATTGTGCTGAAATTATTTATCTTTATAAAAATAATTAGATAGCTGCTTTTCAAAATTTTTAAATATTAGAAAATTCCATTAAAGTAAGTTTTCATAAATTATTAAAATGAACCAAACCTTGGCGTCATCGTGCACCATTATGTAAGAATGTAATTCTGTATTTCTTGTTTAAGGGAACTGAAGGTAAAGAATGTTTGGCTATTTTGCTGAAGATCTAAGAAGAATGCTACCATTTTAAATTACTGTAATTATGCTAATTATTATCTCAGAATGTTGTAATGTATATTAACCACTCAGCAGTGAAGGATGGATATATCCGTCCAGGGTGATAGTGTGCAGTGGTGAAGGACGGATATGTTTGTTAAATTCTTTTCGGGGTATCGCGTGGAAATGCGTGGAAAAATACTTTAAAAATTTCCTATGTTTATTCTCCACTACTGGGGGTAGAACCATACCTGACTAGTCCAAATGTGAAGCTTGGACAGTTTTTCGATGTTTAACCAATTGTCCAAACTTTACATTTGGCAGTTACATTTTCTCAATGTGTACACCTTGTGTTACATGCACATATCTAGCCAATACTCAAATTCTTCCTACACTCACTACAGCATATCTGTTGTCACTTCTCTTGTAGCAGCTGAATTCTATAACTCCTAGAAAGCTTTCTAGATAGAGTCGATAACAAGACATTTGAATGAAAATGGAAGAAGAAAATTGGACAGTTACTCTGTTGATTAGTATATGTTGCTTACTTCTTAGATAATAATTAACATAATTACAGTAATGTAAAATGGTAGCATTCATTTTAGAAGACTGTATACTTCAAGAAGTTTATTGTGTTGCACCTTTTTGCAAAGTTGAATTTAAAAAAAATTGTTTTTGAAGTTTGTTAAACAAGTAAATCACAGATTTATATTTATATAATGAACTAGCTGTTACCTGCAACTTTGCCCATGGGGGTTTTGCAAGCAAACCCCATTTATATTCAGTATTTCAACAATCATAGTAATTATTATATAACACCTACCGCTAAGAATGATGAGAATTGCTGAGAATCAAACAAACTGTTTTCAATTTGATCAATTTTCTGGAACATTTACAATCATTCTATAATTGAACCAATATGCAATAACAAATTCAAATTTAAAACAGTTTGAACATTTGGTTAAAAAATCGAAATGTATAAAAATATTTATAACAATGTCTGAAATGTTAGCAATTTAATACACCTAAGTACTCAATGAAGACTAAATGTAGTTGAAAATAAAAAATCGCATCTAAAATAGTACAGTAGAAGCCATTCTTCAGGTTAAGCCTTAATCCTCTCCCTTTCCTCCCACGGGGGAATTTTGAAAAATCTCTTCTTAATGTGTGTTTTCATGACGTACCCTAACTATGTACCAAATTTCCTCTTTAGGTTCAGCGATTTGCTCTGGGCAATGATGAATCAGTCAGTCAGTCAGTCAGGACAAGTAATTTTATATATTTAGATTGGAATATAGTATATATTCTAGAAATCTGAAAATAAAATAATCTTTCATATTTCGTTAGAAATAAAGAATAAAATGATTTAAAGAATTAAGAACTGCATATCTGCAAGATTCTTTTTGATATGTAAAAAGATATCATTATAATCTCTAATTATAATAAAAATATCAAAATAGTAAATAATATCAAGAATGTAACTAATTTTAATTAAATATTAACATTTATCATATTAATAATTTATATTCCAGTAAATGCTTTATATGTTTTTATTTGCAAATTTTGTCTATTTGTAGTTTTGTTTTCTGCTATTTTACATATTTGCGAAACTGGAATTTGCTTATTTGTGAAAGAATTAACAAAATAAATGAAATAATGGATAAAGAGATAATTAAACAAGTTTCAGTAATTCTGCTTTTTATCTTAAAGTTGTTTTACTAGATTTTGTTGATCATTAGACTTCATTAACAAACAGGAAGCCACTTTGTTTACTTCCAGCAAAAATTTTAATAAACAAAAATGTTGAAAGGAAATCTTGTCTGCTTTTCTCATTTCTTAGGAGCTAGTGTATTGTTGAATTCCTTTTATAGCATAATTGCATGTTTTTTGCTTTGACTCTTGCCCTGTAGATGATATTGAATTTGGGTTAAAAAGGATGATAGCTTTCTCACCATTTTCTCTATTTTTTATTTCTTTCATTTTCACAATTATGCCTGGAATAGATATGCATACAGTTCCTGGAATTCATAAAATACCAATACAGTATGAGATTTGACACCAAACAGGAATATATTGAAGCAACTTCTCGATCCCTTATAGCATGCATGGGACCAACATGAATTGATGTCACGAGAGGAATCCATACGACACGTCGGTCACTTATATGGCAGATCTATGTGACACCTTCATTGTCAGACCAGTAGGAGAAATCTCTGACTTGAAGCATTTAGGGCAACTTGAAATATATTTATCTGATGAAAAAGCCAAATGCATTAATATGAAAATCTTTAAGAACATTTCTATGGCCTGTAAATCAGTTTTTGAGATGACTTTTATAATCTTGTTTACCTTACTTTAGCATCTATTTTAACTTTACTTGTTCTTCTAGTAACTGTAGTTATCACACACTGCATAGTTTATAAAATAAACTAAAATAAAAAATAATCATTTAAATATTTTATTTTGTTATTAGTTTTTGGCAGTTATAGATTCTATTTTTGAATATATTATACATACATTCAAAAATTTGAATTTGATCTTTATTCTGATTGTTTATTCCTATTGCATTAAATAGGTTGAAAATGTTTGTTATTAAATAATTTTGCTGGAATTAAGAAGATTGTTTTAATTTTATTTGGCTTTTATAATTATCATACTTTCCAATTGAAAATTGTCTAATACTGAAATTATAACATAGAAAAGGTTACTATGTAGTATGGATGCTGTATAATACAGTTATATGTAAAATCACTCTAATCCGTATCAGTTGATTTTCTCACAGCACCTCCAAGTTATTACTTAAGACTTTATTGTAGTATATTCTTAAATAGATTATACATAATATGTATTTCAGGCTGTTGTAAATTCATAGCCCCTCTTCAGTGCTATTAAAAACAATGAAATGGTTATTAGACTTGACACTATTACGATCACAAAAATCTTTACATTTTGATTCGTGTTGGTTGATTTTCTCACGGCAACTCCAACATATTTACTTACATGTCTTTAAGAGAGAGAAACAATTTTTAAAACTCCGGTACATATGCAATGTTCTCATATAAATACCATTATAAAACCTTCTATATTTTAATTTTTGAAGTTAGACTATTTACAAAAACATATTAATATTTTCGAGGTGGAAAAGGATCATTGTGTGAAAAGGATTTAATGATAGACTCGAAAATATTAATATGTTTTTGTAAATAGTCTAACTTCAAAAATTAAAATATTGTGATATAGTTTATAATAAAGTTTTTTACCCATTTATTAAAAATTTTTTAAAGGTTTTATAAAAATTGTACCAAAGTTATTACTTATTAATTAAATTTAGATAATTTTTGATCTTAAATGAGATTTAAATTTTCAACTCTTTTTGAAATGTGAATTGAAAATACATTTTATGCTGTAGAAATAATATGAAAAAGTTTTTTGATAGTAAATTTATTTAAACAAATATTAAAATTTAAAAAATTCTTATATATATCTTATTACTTATTTAAATTTTAAGCTTTTTTTTAATTAAGGAAATTTATAAAAATTGTAATTAATAAATTAAAAAGCCTACATTAGAAAAGTCCCTTCTAATTTAGAAAAGATGAATTAAAACTTGGATATTAGTCTTAATAGCAGGTCTCCAGATGCAGAATTATCTCTTGACATTAAGGATATGAAAAATGTTGTTGTGGAATGTAAAAAAGGCGGCAAACAACTGAATATCTCGGATCAGCAGAGAGAGGAAAAACAAAGTTAATGATAAATTCAATAATGATAGTGATTTAATTTAAAAGCACATGCTAAAAAGTAAAATTGATTACTTTTTTATATCATTATGTGATTTCAGTTTGATTTCTTAAATGTTTTTGAAAATATATTTTAATATATTTTCTTCTTTATAGTTATGGTGTATTGCTATGGGAACTTCTAACAGGAGAAACTCCGTATAAGGGCATAGATGCATTAGCAGTAGCTTATGGTGTTGCAGTCAACAAATTAACTCTTCCTATTCCTTCCACTTGTCCTACCCCATTTTCATGCCTTATGGAAGGTTTGTATATACAATTAACAAAATCTTTAATATAATAACTACAATAAATAAGATAAATTTTAATTTATATATGTGTTACAATAAATCCTGACCTAATACAGTAATCTTTCCACTTATGTGATTAGTTTGTTCTATGAAAACTGCCTAAATGGAATCATGGAGTTGTGGCACAAAATACATAACTTCACTTTAATGCTTAATAACATGGGACCTGTAAGTTACAGAATAATAAACCCTATAAGTAAAATGAAGTATATTTAATAAGCTTTTAGAATTTATAACTTATTTTATTCCTATTGATATATTTGTACAAATATTTTGTTTATAATAGAAGGTTATTTGCATTTTGACACAACAGAGATGTTAAACTGTTTTATTTCCCACATCATAAGATCTAAAGATATTTCTTATGAATTAATATATTATATGTTAAATACAACATAATATGTAGAAAAAAATACAAGCATTGTAATATATAAAAACACTACTGTCATTTCAAGATAAATGTACAGACACATTTATGTTAATATCTCAGAACTGTAGCTTCACTGTCATTTTTTACTACATTACATATGCCTGCTATATAACTGTAGATAAGATTATGGAATAAATTAATTTGAGAACTCTCAAACTTGTATAAATATACAATATATATAAATTAGTATACATGCATGTAAAGTTAATTTATTTTAATGCATTTAATCTTATGCATTGTGGTGACTTATAGTATCTACATAATTATTTAAAATTAAAAAAATTTTCAGCTGTGTTAAAGTGAATTTGCATAAATGAAGGAATTACTGTATATAAAAATTGAATAAGTTAATAAGTAAGTAAGTGATTGAGTAAGTTAAGATATTCTTTTAAGTTTTTAAGATTTTAATATGTTGAAGTAATTAACAAGTTAAAGCTGAATTCTATAAATAGGTTTTGATATTTAAATATGAATTTTAATTGCAAATTATTGTTTTATTTATGCTGTATTATAGTGGCTCATTTCATAATTTCTCACAAATAAATATTTAAATTTTCAAATATTTATGCTTTAAATGATCTGTGATTGGAAAAACTAAACTTTCCCAAAACAGATGTAGACATTTACACATTTAAGTTTTGAATTTCTTTTACAAACATTTAAAAATAAAGAATGGAGTTTAGTTGAGTATTCCATAACTAATAATTTACAAAATTTTTTGTGGAAATGAAATTCCCTGAAACAGTAAAAAGATATAATTAAACAGCTTGAAATAGCATGCTATAAAACTAAAACAGAAAACTGTAATTATACTCGTATAAATTAGAAGGCCTGTCCATTCCTTTTATTCATAAACATTTTCAGAGATTTGCCCTTTTTAACATAAGATGAAAAGTTTTTGAAACATTTTTTAAATTTAAATGTTTGAATGTCTGCATGTTGTCAGAACAACAGCTTAAATGACAAGTCTGTGTAAATTTTGTTGAGTATATTTTATTTCTGATTTGAATTCATCTATAAACATATTAAAGACCAATGTTTATAATAATAAGCCAAACAATTGCTGTATTAATAGTAGTGGTAAAGTAACCTGATTCGTTATGGCAATTGTTTAGCTTATTATTTCTAATTTGTAAAATGAAACAAGTTTTATTATTTTTTTTTATTTTAAAATATTGAGTTAATTATTCTGAAAATTATTGGCTATATTTATGACATAAATTAATTTAGATAGTAACAGATTTGATATTGAAGTAAATAGTACCATCATTTTGTAATAAATGTAATAAAGCTAAATTTTTAAATTAGTATAATTAATAATTTATAAATATCTGGAAGAAAACATTGAAGAATTACAATCCTTTGGAAATAGTGGTTGTGAGTTTAAGTCTTACAAATTTGACACTAAAAGATGATAAACACCACTTACGTTTAGTGTTAAATTTATTAATAGAGAAACATTTGCTTTTATGGATTTTAAAAATAAAATAGAACATAAAAACATAAATACTAGTGCTTTTGGAGTTTATCCATTGTCAGAAACATGATTATGATCATCCTAATGATGGGCTGATGATGATGGATACAAATACAAAAGCATTGGAATCTATATTCTATTTGTTTTTTAAACTCTATTAAAACAGTATTTTTCTGGTTATTAAATTTGTTTCTTTAATGTAATTTAATTATTTTGTAACAAAACAAACAAAAGAAACAAAATAATCAAAAATAATAGACTATGTTTTTGACATAGTCTATTATTATTGATTATTTTGTTGATAATTTATGATTGTTTTAATTTTCCTTATTTTTAATTTAACAGATCATTAATAAACAATAAAAGTTAATAATGAGATTTATTACATAATTTAACATAAATACTAGTAAAATAAATACAAATAAATATATAAAAGTTTCCATAAATATAAAATATTTTTGGTAACACAAAAAATTAAGAAGTACAAAAAATTGTTTTATTTTTCATACTAAATTACTTATTATGAAAGTGTATGTTACTGTTATATTATGAGTAATTATTTTTATACATTTGAAGAATGTTCTGTAAAGTTAATTGTAATAAAAAATATTATTTAGAGAAATATCATACCTAATTAATTAATTAATAGAACATAAATAACAAATAATTAATTAATTGATTATTTATAGATATTGTTAATGTTTAAATTTTTAGCCTGTTGGAATCCTGATCCTCATGGCAGACCAACATTTGTGGATATCCTCAGGGAACTGGAAGATATTTCTAGATCACCTTTCATGAATACACCCCAAGAATCATTCCATACTTTACAAGAAGATTGGAAACATGAAATAGCAGAAATGTTTCATGAACTCAGATGCAAAGAAAAGGTATGAAGTTTTAATTAAAACTGAAGGATTTGATATTTAATTAACTGATTATTTTATGTGCTACTTAAATATAACAATTATTGCTTTTAGTTTTACTTTCATTTTATGTTTTCATTCTAGTATTTACCTAAAACTTTTTTAAATTAAAAATAATTTGAATGCCTGTTTTTCATTATTTTACAATCTCAACTTTTTATTGAAATGTTTGTATACTTTGCACAAAATTTATTCTTAATTAATATTTTCATAATATGAAGTTTTTCTAGAATTAGATCTGAAAATTTTATTTTCAAAATCTTATCTATTATTTTAAAGTATTAAAAATTCAACTGTAATTATATAATAATTTTTTAACTGTAGTTTAATATTTGTTGATTTATTGCTTAGAAATTTGAGAACTTTTTTTGTAATGAAGCCATGAATTTTTCCATCTTATACAGATAACACTATATAACATGGCACTTTTACAATACAATTTTAGTCTAACATTATTTTGTTGTAACACAGTTAGAGAATTGAAACAATCCTTGATCAACTTGGTACAGTGTGTTTACTTTGAAATGCCACAATTTTAATTTTTAATAACAAACTGTATATCCTTTTTATTATAAATGCATATATATTACACAAACATTAAAGTTTATTTCAGTATCTGTTCAGCATGGCTGCCATGCTTACTTTGCACATAATGTATTTGAATACATATGTTATTGAAAATAAAATTGAGAATTTCAATTAAAATGGCTGATGGTATTTCACAAAAAATACATGGAAGAACTAAAACATCTTCATATCTCCATCATGTCCAATCACTGGGGACAGTCTTGTTTTACAGAGGTGATCTTATATTAGAGTATATGCTTCTATAAAAATATGCAAAACAGTTTTAAAATCTTTGCTAGTGATAAGTCAGAAATGAAAAATACATAGTTTCAATTAAAATTAGCTGATATTTTATATTAAAAATACATATTACAAGAACAATTACCTTTGCAGTCCCAGCAACGTATCCATTGCTGAGATGACAAAAATTCTGTTCCTGTGATTCGACATGATGGAGCTATGAAGACATTTTAGTTTCTTCTATGTATTTTTAACAATTGAGAATTTCTTTATTGACTTCACACAGAGGGTAATGGATTCCTGAAGTTTCTCTATATTTGGGGAAATTTTGTAGACAAGATCCTTTAAACGTTCCCACAAATAAAAATCAAAGATTTAAAGGTTTTGACAAAATTTAACAAAATTTTATGGTTCTGAGAGTTTGCAATCATAAATGTCTAGAATATGATTCCCAGTTATCTGATTTTTGAACATTGTTGTAGAGAAATGTTAAAGCATTGGGTGTTGAATTTGGTCAGGCTCGTTTGAACCACTATTTTTTATAAAAAATTTTTAGAATTTACAACAAAAATTTTTTATGAATTTTTTACTGATTCATTGTTTTAAATTTTGTCAATATATTTACACAATTTTTTAATTGGAATTTTTCTTTGAGGAAATTCAGATAAAAAAAAATGAGCTTTCAACATTTTCAGTTAATTATTTTATGATATAAATTTTTGAAGAAGAGTTTTATCTTGGGCATTTCTGGTTTTTTTAAACTATTTGTATAGTCCTCAAATTACCTTTATATTTAGTACTAAGAAGTTCCACACTCATTTCTGAACTTTTGCTGCATACTTATGATTGATCTTAGCTCAACATATTACATAACAATATCTATTTAGTGGTAGTTTGAGGGTTTAGAAGTAGCCATTTTTAATATATAACCAAAGCAGCAGCAGCAACAGCAGTGTTGTCAGAAAGACTAAGGTTTGTTTATTAATAATATATAGTTGTATATAATAAAAAGAATATGTGGCTTAAGTTATTGATAATTAAAATTGTGGCATTTCAAAGTAAACATTTTGTATTTTTGAGAATTTGTGTGGAGAATTGATCTTTGCTATTACATTGGATAAAATATTTTAACATTTTTATTTTTTTGTGAATTTGTTATATTCAAATTTAAAACTCATTACTTAGAAAAATTGTTATAATAGCTTTTAGAAAAATGAGTCTGAAAATATTGAAGTGATGGAAGCATAAAAACTTTTTGTAATTCTTGATTGTGTCAGAATCATTGTCTTGTCACTTATAGAAGTAAAGGCATCAATATTAATTGTGTATTAGAAGATTGTTTGGTCAGAGCCTGTTCATTTTGAAAATATGGTCAAACTGACAAAAACTAGAATCGGTGCAGTAGTGGAACTTGCTAAGTCAGTAGGAAGGAAAGCCCCATTTTCAAAATTTCAAATTTTACACTACAAATCCATACAAGAAAGCATAAATTTAGTGGAGCAGTTAGAATCTTACTTATTGAATCCAGATTTGTTGACTAAAAGGAGCACAAAGTTTAAAAATTAGCTTAAAAATCTATACTATAAAATTTAAAAAGCAAAAATCAAGCTATCAGATGAAAACAAACAAATCTAGGTTACTGGTTTTTTAACAGAAGATAATTAAATCTACATACATCAAACAAAACCCTTACCATTCAGTAAATAATTTTAATGTAAAAATTCAATAAATGTTTTCAATCTTACACAAGATCTACATCAGGTCAACAGCATTCTAAATTGGGAATGTGAAGAACCAATTTCAAATGCAGATCTTGTTTAAGATCAAAAATATTTGTCAAATTTTTACATAAAAATTATTTACTGGATGGTAAAGGTTTTGTTTGATGTACTGTACTTAAGTCATTGATTCAATTATTGAGAAGATAATTTTGATAATGAAATCTAGATGTTGCAGGAAAAATTTCAGAAGATAAAGATATTTTGCTAGAGAAAACACATTTATATTTGATTGTGCTTAGTAGCAATAAAGAGAAAGAAAATTTATCTGACATGCCATTCCATATTTCTGCAAGTATAAGAGAATTCATGCTCTTACATGTTCTTAATGTGTGGAAATATGGTATCTATCATAGTTCGTAAGACAATCATTTAGTTATTTCTATTTTCAGTGAAAATTAAGTTTCTGATAGTTAAAAAAGTAAGCTAGTGTATTTTTATTAGCTTTTCAAATGTAACAATTTTTTTCTATTAGTTCTTAATGTTACATAACAGAGTTTTGAACAACACAGAACTTTATAGAAACCTCATAATTGCATTATATGAGAGCTGCCTGTATTTTTTAATTATGATGCCATTAAGTTAGAAGGGCATAATTTAAAGTTACCATATAAATATTTTAACATGCAATTCAACATTTTAAAGGTTCCAAAAATATAACATTTGTAAAATTAAATTTAAAATGTATTAAAAATTTATTAGATATAAATAAATGAATCAGAGGTTTTCATTTAAAGACATTTATTGCAATGTAAAACTAAATTTAATATTTAATTAAAATTATAAATTTTGTAATAATAATAAAGTAAATAACACATTTATGCATATTATTTTGTAACTGAACTTGGCTAATCATAATATTTTGTTATTTTGTTGAATGAGTTTTCAAGATTATAATATAAAATTTTGAATAGTACATAAAATAATTTTATATTGTATTTCAGTCATTATCATTCTTCACTTTATGATGTAAAATTTATTGTACAATTAAATTATTTTTAAAGAAATTGATGTATACAAATAAAAATTTAAAAATAAACAAGGTTTTACATGCAATTAATAATAAAATATAAATAAATATTTTTTAATTTATAAACTTCACTTTACTTTATTCTATAGCTAAATTATAGAATAAATTATTTAATTAAGTGCTGAGGGATTTTGATGCATTGATTATAAATACATGTTATTGTAAGATATGTATACTTTCATATTTTATTTAATATTGAAAATAAAAGGAATCAATTGTAATTTTTAGGAATTGCGTTGTCGAGAAGAAGAATTAACAAAGGCTTTGCTACAACAAAAGATTCAGGAAGAATTTTTGAAGAAAAGAGAACAAGAATTAGCAGAAAGAGAAATAGATCTTTTGGAAAGGGAGTTAAATATCATGATTTTGCAACAACAGCAAGGTCGTCCAACTCCAAAAAAGCGCAAAGGCAAATTTAAAAAGAGCCGACTGAAACTATTGAAATATGGTGGACAACAAATTAGTATGCCTTCAGGTAATTATATTTTAATTTGATTCACTTTTAATCTGGCAGAGTTTTAGTCCTTTTTGATGACTGTAGTTGAGTGGCTGCCAATTGCTGAGCAGTTAAAGTGACAGCCTACAGACTTCTCTGGAACACTTGGGAATGAATTTGGACTGGTCAAAAAACTCCATGAAGTTTTTAGTGGGGTGGTTTATCCTAGTAGTTGAGTCCATCTTTCATCACCATTGTGGGCCTGACTAAACTTACAATAGGCTTGATAAAAAAGCTTTCTTAGTGCCCACAGACAGAAAGAGTAAAAATAAACTGTATATGAGATGTTTTTTTTTTTAATTACAATGTATAGCAACTGAGTATTTAGTAGGATTTAGCTATTTACAATTAAATAGACATTTTACCAATTAATAAAGAAATGTGCTAATAACTACTTAAGATATTGTCTCATAAGATGATTTTTCTTTTTGTTAAGATTAATTTGAAAAATTATGATTTATTTATTTAAAAATTAAATTTTAACTTTATTTTAGATTTTGTGAATTGCCTTCTTTAGTCTGTTAAGTAACTTTGTATATTGTGATGTTTTGTGAAAAATATTTCATTTTAAAAAATTTACGTTTTGGTAAAGCTTGCACAACTGAATGATTGTTATATTCTCCATAAAACTTAATAGAAATACAGATTTTTGTATGTACAATGTCTTGTTTAATATGATTTTTACAAAGAGTACTTCTCCTGTTTGTATCTTATTATAATTTCTTATTATAAGCATAAATGTTTTTTGTAATTTATTTTAGTTTGATATATATAAGAAGTTTACAGTTAAGCAAAAAAATATCTTTTGATTACAAAATTCTTTATTTGATGAGCCAAATATTCTTTATTAACACAAGTCAACCTGTCTATAAGAGTGTTATTGTATAAATTTGCACAATAACACACTTATAGACAGGTTCACTTATACTTTCATGAAATTGGTGATTTTAATTTATTAATTATTAAATATTTGTGTCACTGAATAAAGAATTTTTTTGGAGTCAGAAAGTATGTTTCTACCTAATTCTTTTTATATGTTAATTGTTTTTATTTAATTTACATTTCTTTAATATTCTGCTTTTATATATGGTTTCACTTAATATCTCCTATCTATTCTGAATATATGTATATTTGTAAAAATTGTAAGCTTTATAATAATTTTTTTCTTTTGAAATTACTGTTAAAATTTTATTGCAATAAAATTCTTATTATTAATTTTTTTAGATTTTCGTCATAACATCACTGTCCAACCTTCACTTGCTATTAGGCCAGAGATTAAAGGCTTAAGAATGTCATCTAGTCCAGAAAGTCCTCCTGCTTCACCTAATCTACCTCGCTTGCGAGCTTATGCACGTATGTATTGAGATTTATAAAATTGTATATTGAATATAACTTGAAAAGTTAAAATTTTAATTGAATAAATCTGATAATTATGTTTGAACCAATTTGATCCTTTTGAGTATTCAAACAACTACTTTCAGAACAGATTTATATTCAAGCTATTAATTATTAATTAGCTTTATGATATCCTAAATATAATCTGGTTATAGTTGGATTATAATTTTATTATTTGCAATATTCTACAATATGTGATAGTGAAAGTAAATAATGAGACAAAACAATAATTAGCTGATAAGTCTTCATATAAAAAAAGTCTAGAATTTTGTGTAGCAATTACTTTATTTTATCAAGCAAAATGTCATGCCTATATTACATGACTTAAAATTTATATTGCTGCCATAATTGTATTTTCATACGATATTATTATAATGATATATGTATTAATACTGAAATAATGATTAAAATGTATAGTGATGAATAAAAATGAAAAATTGAATATTCTTAGTTACTGTCATATTTTCAAAAAATAGTCTTAAAAAAAGAGTAAAAACTGTACCATAAATATATTTACATATTTTAATTATACAAAACTTGTCTTATTGTAAAGAAATAATTCCTTTGAAAAATATTGATACTGTATATCTATTATCAATGATTTTTTAATTTTTAAACATTAATTCCAAAAATTAAATTTTATGGTTTGTGCATGGTATAACTGTTGACATATAAGAAGTTTTGTAATTTCCTCTCATATTTTTTAAACATAACATATTTGTACAAGATACATGTAATTGTTTTAGTTTAGTCTTGATCTTGTTTTTCATCAGTAGTATATATTAATTTACTGAGCAATTTTATCAGAAGATTATCAGTAATATTGAAATTATTTTTGATAATCTTTTATTTGAAATATATAAAGTTTAATGAAAAATAAAGAAAAAAATTCCATTTATTTAAAAAGGGAATGCACATCTCCAATACCCTATTTAGGTCCCATTTCTTTAAAAATTGCATATATGTTTAGAACTAACAATTTTGTTCTACCAATAACACCATCACCAAGTCTAAGAAGACTACTATGTAAGGAAATGTGTTTTTTGCATGGAATTAGTTTTTAAATTATTTTTAATTTTAAGAATTTGAAGCTAATTATAGAAGATAAACTGAAAAACTTTGATTATTAATTAGAATACAGTATAAAAATTAATTTTAAAGAATTTTCTATGATATGTATTATTCAGTTTAATGAAATGCAAATTTTTTTTGATTTTGCTTGTACTTTTTTATCATAATTTTATTGGCATTTTACCTTTCAGTTGTGTAGTAGTTTCTAAATTTGTTTTTTTGTTCTAATATAAATTTTAATTAACTATATTAATTATAATGGAAATTTGCACTTTCTTATGTTGGAAAAATATTTTTATTCATACAGAACTAATACCATATCCATTTGACGTGTGAACCTTGAGTGTGAATGCTCAAATTAATATTTCTTTAGGTGTAAAATCATTATTTTATTATCACAAGGACATTGCATATGCTTACTGCCAAATTTATTTGTGATTTATTTCTAACCAGCTTGAAAACAGTCTGGATAAACTGGGGATAAAAAGTTTGGCACGTTTTGATGTATTTTAGTGAAACAGCTTGTGCTTATTTTTATATTGGATACTATATTATTTATAAAAGCTTAAATAATTACTTTTTTAGATTACAATAAAATAAACTTCTTTAGTCTGTTAAGTAACTTTGTATATTGTGATGTTTTGTGAAAAATATTTCATTTTAAAAAATTTACGTTTTGGTAAAGCTTGCACAACTGAATGATTGTTATATTCTCCATAAAACTTAATAGAAATACAGATTTTTGTATGTACAATGTCTTGTTTAATATGATTTTTACAAAGAGTACTTCTCCTGTTTGTATCTTATTATAATTTCTTATTATAAGCATAAATGTTTTTTGTAATTTATTTTAGTTTGATATATATAAGAAGTTTACAGTTAAGCAAAAAAATATCTTTTGATTACAAAATTCTTTATTTGATGAGCCAAATATTCTTTATTAACACAAGTCAACCTGTCTATAAGAGTGTTATTGTATAAATTTGCACAATAACACACTTATAGACAGGTTCACTTATACTTTCATGAAATTGGTGATTTTAATTTATTAATTATTAAATATTTGTGTCACTGAATAAAGAATTTTTTTGGAGTCAGAAAGNCGCCAGTGCTGTGGCGCTGCAATCTTTGGCTATGTCTTGGGCTACTCAAATATTTTACGTTTTTGCTACTAAATTAACTTCTGAAGTATAATTTTTTATTGTTTTTATATTTTTGAATATATTTATTTTGTTTGTACAAAATAAATAAATAATTTTTAACGATACAACAGCCACAATTATTATTTTAAAATGTTTATGTTAGGCTTAATATCGACGCAAATTCAATGCAAAGCGACACACAACAGAGAAAAATTTCAGGATGGGATAGGTTAATATATTTTTTCATACATAATCGGTTATCCGAAAAATAAGTTATCCGAACGACCCCAGTCCCCAATGGATTCGGATAAACGACGCTCTACTGTAATATATTAACATTTTTTAAAAGTGTAATTAAAAACGTATAAAGTTGTAAATATATTAATTATAATGGAAATTTGCACTTTATTATGTTGGAAAAATATTTTTATTCATACAGGTTGAATTTTCATTATACAGATGTTTTAATTATTTAGAGTCAGTAGAGTCATGACTATACAATCTTTTGTTATATGCATTTTGCTATCTGATGTGTTAGATAGTGTAGGCTGTGAACCAGTATATTATTTTGCTTTTTTCTCAGTGTTGCTTTGTCTATCAGGTCATTACCTACTACCAGTTTCATTTATATCAGATAATTTTTATTTGTGTATCTACACTAATGTATTATACAGGTAGCCCTTGGTTTATGCTGATTCACAATAATGCCGCTGCACAATTCGCGATTTTTCTGTGTAATTCCCAATTTTCCCTATGCCAGACTGATTTTTGTTTTAGTGTTCACGTATTTACCGAGCCGTGACATTGTACATTCATTAAAACAAAGATTTTTATTGAATATATTTATTTTTTCTGTTTAATATTATTGGTATGTATACATTTGCATTAAATTAGTATTAAAATACTAAACGTTTAGGTACCCACGAGTCAAGTTATCAAACTTAATAGTCCAATAAATGGCATTTGAATCCATAGTGCCATTGAATTTATCCTGTATCAGTTCATTTAGGAAAACACCTTACGATGCAGTAGCACTTCTGGCGATCAAAAACTATCGTTAGTGAGACATATCTACTTCTCGTTGGCCAGACAATATCTATCTATCCTTAATTTTCCTGCTCAAACTGACCTTATATATGCGCTACGACGACCGGTGGTCGACCAATCAGTGTCTCCGCTCATCCGTAGCTCTACGTCGGGTTAACGTATCCTTTCGACTATGGAAAGTTTGACAGTTGAACTTTGTGAGTTAGACAATGATTGGGAGCGAAGTGTGAATTTAAAAAGGAGCATCATCGCATCCATTTGACTTTATTCCGAAATTCTCAATGAAAGAAAACAAAAATGTAAACAATTAAAGATGGATACTTTTTCTGAAAAATGTAAGAGATCCGAAACTAAAATCTTTTAATAAAAACATTTCACTTTATTTTATGATAAAATATATTTAAAAAATTAAATTTATTTGTATTTTGTATTATATTGTATTAATAAACAAAATTATTTGCGTATTTTTTACTTATGTAGAACCTAACCCTATACCTCAGTGTAAATATGGGTTCGTTTTATGCCGATTCGATTTGCGCCGGCTTTTGTAGGAATGGAACTGCGGCTTAAACCGAGGGCTATCTGTATTTATATTTTACATGCTGTGTTTGTGTTATTTCCCTTTACCTAATCTTATTATCTGAGAAACAATAAGTGAAGAGAGAGAGAAAATGATTCTTTCAATTGAATAATTAATAATATATATATAATTCCATATTTACACTTGATTTTCATTAAGTTTGTGATTTGATTTACTCTTCCATCCGTTTTTGGATTTTCAGACATTTTTTATTAATTTAACTAAGTATAGTCCTATTTATATTGACAGCTGGATTCTTGAGGGATCAAAGGTGTCAATTGATTATTTACTTGTGTATATTTGTATCTATCTATCTATCTATCTATCTATCTATCAGTAGAGCGTCATTTATCTGAAAGTTGGTTATCCGAAATGTCAGTTATCCAAAAGAATTCCAGTTGGCAAATTTAAATTTTTGCTAGTGCTGTGGTGCTGCAATCTTTCGCTATGTCTTGGGCTACTCCAATATGTTTTTTTTGTTGGTGTGTGTGTTTTAGCTGGCAGCACTGGCACTTTTGTGTGGTGTTTTTCTGAGGACTGTGTGTTGTGCTGAATTAAATGTTTTTGATACTAGATTAACTTCTGAAGTATAATTTTTATTTTGTTTTTATATTTTTCAATATATTTATTTTGTTTGTACAAAATAAAGAAATAATTTTCAACGATACAATAGCCACGATTATTATTTTAAAAAGTTTACATTAGACTTAACATCGACGAAAATTCAACGCAAAGCGATACGCAATGGAGAAAATTTTAGGATGGGATAGGTTAATATATTTTTTCATACATAATCGGTTATCCGAAAAATAAGTTATCCGACAACCCCAGTCCCCAATGGATTCGGATAAATGACGCTCTACTGTATATATCTATATATTTATCCTGTTTTTGATGTGTTATTTGAATGGAATATCATTTAAAAGTAATTTGAACTGCAAGATTTTCATTCACAATTTACATTTGAATTTGTTCCTTTTTCTGGCATGTTGTGTAAATAATGTTATTTAAATGAAAAATTTCTGAACTTTGTTCCATTTTTGAACATTGTTAATAACCATCTTTTAATTTAGAATTATAAAGATAGCTTAGACCAAAAACATTATTTAAAATAAAAC